ATGACTTCCGATGGTCACCGCAAGTAATACCATGGCAAGATCTCCTGTTGCTTCTGGAGGGTCAAGTTGTTCATTTTCCAGCACCCAAAACCCACTTTGCCAAGGATATAGATTTCCACCTAGACACTCCAATCTTCTGCACAAGCAAAAATGCCATCGTTTTCATCAAAAACGGAATGATTGACGATAGAGAAACCGAGATGATGAGAGTCCGCTGGACCATCATACAACTAAACCATCAGATTCCTCGTGAGCAACAGCGTCATGTACCGTCATGCTCAAAATGTTTTGCAAATCTAATATTATATAGGTAAAGTACATCATTTTGTCTAATACAGTCATTTCAATATCGYTTAACATAACATATTGTTTTTGATTGTTGAAAAATACCACGATTAACATAGCGTTTAAACGGTTAACAAGCCGTCTTTATAATAATGTGTTTGAGCCCTRTCAGAATCTTTTTAATTCCCATGAAATCGCTGTTAACCGTTATTTACGCAAACAATTCTCTTGTTAATCGAATAAATTAGCAGTATATTCTTAAATGTATATTTCTAGAACTCATAATTCAATACTTTGAAGTTAGTTTAGCAAAAAAGCCAAGTTTTATTGTGTTAATCGTGTTCGTGACACCATTCAATGTATGACGTATGTCYRGCAACYCACTGTTTTACTTATAAGCACTCYTAGCTACAACATGTAAAMAATTTCGTTGATATAATATTACAAATGCATTTATTGACATGTGCAAATAAAAAAATTGGATATGTTTAGTATTTTGTTCGATCGCCTTTCTTTTGGATCACCATATCTATGCGCTTGTTCATTGAAGCTATAGTCTTATCTATTTGTGTGACTGAAAAAGCTTTCAATGTATTAATCACACGCCATTTAAATTCGTCGTATGTTTCGTATTGTATATTTTCATTGATTGCTTGTTTYTGGAGAAGCGCTTTTGCGTTTTTAAAAACATTCTCGATAGGATTTAAGTCTCCAGAACGAGGAGGAAATTCAAGTTGTTTGGCTTTTACTCGACGAAGGGCTCCACGGACGCACGCAGAATTTTGGTTAGGAGCATTGTCTTGGAGAAAGATTCTACTGCTTTTTGCCACTTTCGGAAACATAACTGGAAAGCGTTCCTTGACAAAATTGGAAAAAAATGGTCCATCAAGGTGTTCATATTCGTATACTTCGATGACCCCATGATTATAGCTAATCGCTACAATCACTTTAACGAGCTTGCCACCAGTCCCCTCTTTTTTCCCCTTTGCAGTACAGCCTCGCGCAAGTCTTTCCGATTTTTTTCGCCATACACGTCCACGTGGTGCTAAAGCCTGCTCTTTGGGCCTTCGTTTATAAGTGTAAAACTCACTCCGTCCAAATAAAATATATCGTCTTTCCACACTTCTGGGGAGTAGTTTCTTTTCATTTCCCGTGCAAATTTTAATCTCCTTTTACAGTCGGCTTCAGATAGTAGACCTTTCTTTCTTGATTGAAGACTAAAATATCCGTTCTTGTTTAAATAGCGTCGTACAGTCCTCTCACTTATTTCAGAAGGYTCTATTCCAGACGTGCTCATTATTTCTCTTGTAGAATAATTTCCACGAGTACGTCTTAACTTTTTGACGGCACGAATGATATTTCTCTCGTCATGTGCTGAAAGTTTTCTCGGCCTTCCTCCCTTATTAATGTCTTTCTTCCTCTTACCTAGGCAATTTTTGTCTTGTTTAATTCGATGAACGGTTGCTCTTGAAATTCCAGTCTTTTTACATATATCTTTTACTTTAAAATCTTTATCTTGACTAAGATATGCTATATAGGCGCGTTTCTCTGGTGATATCTTTCCCAAAAACACCATTTTTGTTAAAACTGCGACAATAGCGAAACAACTTGTGGGCTCCAATTCAGAGAAAATTTTGAAAATTATCTTTATTACATCACTAATTTTAAATTAGAATGTTAAAAAAATGCATTCTTCATATTGTTATAGTCATTCATGTACACATACACAACTCACGAGTATGAAAAACGTTTTATGCCCAAAATACAATCCCGGTCAAAAC